GCCGGCGTAAGGCGCTGACTTGCTAGCAAACATGAATATTTGCTCGCGATTGGGGTGAGTCGATGGCGCGTCGGAGGTGAGCTGCGCGTCTGTCATGCATGCCTATAACTGCTTTTCTGGTGGCGACTTGCTTACAGTCGACTAAAAGCTACAGTGGATGCAGCTCGTGCATGCTTTCTGGCCAACAGTTGCGACTGTAGTCACCAGAGAATTCTTGTGGATATGCAGGTGATTGCTGCTTCCAACGCTGACATGTCTATATCTCACAATTTTCGACGCATTGTCAAATTTCTTGTGATTTAAAAGGAAAGTTTTTGATTTTGAGACTCCCGAAGACCTCAAAATATCTATTCATACAGGATCTTACTTGTCTGTTTATTAATGAATTATACAATATTGTGCGCGTCAAATGCAGGGTTGCATGCGTTTTTCATTTCTTTCTTAAGGCACCGAGGGGTGTCTGATTTTTTGGAGAACAAATTGCTATGCAGGCTGAAACAGCCGAACGCAGATGCAGAGGTAGCCTGGACACAAAATTATCGGGGAATTAAATGAACTTTTGAAACCAAAGGCTTCTCTTTCTTCGTGTATAAAATTTGAAGAGAGATAGAGAGAGAGAGAGAGAGAGCCATTTGCTACCGAATCAGTACAAGTTAGCATATTTTGGTTCCTTTTTACAATGACATCTATTTGAATTTATAAAGATATCGAGAATCAATATCAAAAGTTCATACCACATCAATAATCCTTGTTTACTAAGTGCCATTTTTACAGAAGATCCAAAAGAACTATATTAAAAATTCAAAATCTTGGCGAGTTCAAATTATTATGATACTACAGTAGTTGGGGTAACTCAAGAATTGTCAACACAAATTCCGAAATACGTTTTCGTTTTGGAAAGATTAATTGAGTAGGGTTGTAAAACTGATCGTCCCGCTGCCTAATTCTTTAATAATTCTTTCACCTTTTCTCGGGGTTGATAAAAAATCACGCATTAACTCGAAACTCATATTCGTGTATACCAATGCGCAAAGTGTTCTTTCTAAACTTTTTGAACTTTGTATCCTTACCCATCACCTCCATGCAGGCGTTATCTCAATAATACAAACATGGCTTTCCGAACAGATTGATGATAGATAACTCATGCTCCCTGGATTTCAACTGTTCCGCAGAGACAGACAAAACTGGAGGGGTGGTGCCCTTGTACCTTTTGTTAAGAACGGCTTATACGTTTCAGAAAAACTGCCCAGTTGGCTTGTAGTACGGAGGCGTTGTGGCTGATCATACGGGCACCGGGCTCTCAAAGCCTCAATATCTTGACAGTATATCGCCCCCCGAGAAATGACCCTGACGCTGATGCCCAACTGCTGGAGGAGCTTAGGCTATTTTCAACGCGACGGACTACTCTCATCGTTGGAGATTTTAATGCACCTCACATAAACTGGAGCTCGGCCTCAGCCGACTGCTCTGAAGCAGCATTCGACCAGCAGTTACTGCGTAACTCCGACAATCTGCTTCTAATCCAACACGTAATGTTTCCAACGAGAGTTCCAGAGGGCCAGCAAATGAATTTGGTTTCAAATTTTCGTCCTCGGATCCGAGGGGTTAATTTTCTTCGAGATTTCCGCACTCTGGATGCTCCTGCAGTCAAACGGATTTTAGAAAATTGATTCGCAGACAGCAATATTCGCATCGTCATCAATTTACGACACCACCTTTGCAGAACGTGGACTTAGACTCTACCAGTTCTGCATACGAGCCTAAAAAGACCAATCTTCCAGCAAACGATACGCTCACTTCGAAATTAGACTTTAGCTGTACCTTTGCTTCAAAGCATTAGCTTAAATTTCTGTTAACTGTAGTGCCGTTAAATTCGACTAGGTTTCTGTTGTCTGAAGTTTCGAAGCATTCGCCTAGATTTCCGTTGCCTAAAGCTTCCCTGACATCTGAAAGCCTTCTTTTGATTGTGTCTGTCTTCTGCTGCCAACCTTTCGGCCGTTGTTGTATCCTTGACTTTGGCGCATTGAGACATGGGAAATGTAGAAGTGTACGATCCATCAGTCCCGCGGGATGGAAAGAAGGCGTGGAGAGCGGGAATCGAACCTTCGACCATCGCCTCACGAGGCGAACGCCTAGACCCCCCGGCCATCGGCACCGAGGGGACGACCTCAAAGAATATTAATTGCATTAGCCCCACAGTTGGGGAATGTGTCGGATTTTGCCATGAAAATAGTGCACTAGCAACTCCATGCGGACCAGCGTCGATTCACGCCGGGCAGGGAGGATCTAACGAACGCAGTACGCCAGAAGTGGTTCAAAACAGGACGGAGGTGGCCCGCAACGCAAATTATCCCGGGAAATTCGCCACGCCTACACAAGATTTTCTACCAGATGATGAACCTTCAAATTGTGGTTCGCGGTGTAAATATTGTCGAGATCTCGCGTTAAACATTACGTCGTTGGAGACGAACATGAACCTCCTTATAGATCTCATTGCATTGTTACTAAAGTATGATAAATTCAAGTAAATTGATGAATTCGGCAGTAGCCAACAGATAGTTTCGAAACTGACAGAGTTGACTAACAGCAACCCACTAGTAGAGGGATCACCGTTTCAGGAGATCGCTGGCTGCAGAAATAAACAGAGTGCTAAGAGAAAAGGTAAACGGAAACATGAACATACAGCCTCACCCTCACCAAAAGCGATGATAAACGACACTCCAAAATCGCAAACTAAGTTGCGAAGTGATAATGGCAGTACACTCTCATCATTGAGAACTGCTCAGCTGAAGAACAATGACCAGCTCACTGGCAGAGTAGAAGCTGTCCGATCTCCACCACAGAAGAAGGTAAAAGGATTCGACATAGAAAAGACTACTACATGGACGGAAACCTCAGAGGAAATCGCGGAGAATATGACAAGGCATGATATTAATCCGCCGCAGAAGAGCAGAAAGCAGACGCTCACTGCCCCCCGCAATGTGACCGAGGAGAACCAAGGAATTAATAATAAGACTCAGACCGTTCACATGCAACTGAGGTCAGTTAAATCAAAGGGGACTGATGACTGAAAAGAGAGAGACGGAAATCGGACGACTTCGGAGTACCCGAAGAAAGGAACTTCCTGGGGTGGAAAAGCAGAGCTCGTCTGAGCAATCGACAGAAACCTCCAGCGCCAGCGTAGACACAGACGCGGCAAATGCGCATATCCTCTGTATTGACATAAAAGACATGAGCAGTATTGCTCCAAACACGAAACCATTAGCTGCAGAAAAGATCCCTGGAGTGGATGGCAACCAGAATGTCATCATGAATGGTTCGCCAGGAACTCCCAAGTCACCAACATCACGCAACCAAGACCGGCCGCTCCGAGAACAGTGCCTAGTAATACAGGGACTTCAGGAGCCTCAAGCAGATACACCTAAAGAACGCGTATTAGCTGATCTCGGCTTGTTCCAAGGTCTTCTAAACACACTGCTTCAACCCGACGAAGAAATTTCCGTGTTGAAAGCCTTCAGACTCGGAAAGCGCTCTACTGAACCCGCTATTCCACCGCATCCTAGGCCCCTTAAAATTGTTCTGAGTTGCAAAGAGCATGTTGATCTCATCCTCTCAAGACGTTTTAGGTTAAAATATTTCCACCAAGGAGTTCTTTTTCAGCCGGATTACACACCACCGGAGCGGATAAAACGCCGGCAGTTAGTTCAGGAGCTAAGGCTGCGACAAACGAATGGCGAACAAGGCCTGGTTATCTACAACAACTGCATAATCGAGCGACCGTCCCGCTTCATATGGACACTGCCCGTGCGTATGTCGCCACAGCCGAGACAATTGGCAAAGGCGGCGTCATAGCCGGCTTACCAAAGGAAAAAAAGCTAAAATGCTTGTATTCCAATGCGCAAAGTCTGCTATCTAAATTAGATGAGCTTAAAATCTACGTTGACCAAACCTTACCCGATGTTATATCCATAACTGAAACGTGGCTGTCCGCGAGCGTAGACGATCGCGAAATCGCTTTATCTGGTTATCACTTGTTCAGAAAGGACAGGTTGGGACGTCAAGGTGGAGGTGTGCTCGTGTATGTCAAATATGGCCTTTTTGCGTCAGAAAAAGAGGGACAGCTCGCGCGCACAACTGAAACGATTTGGCTCACCGTCAAAACGCCGGGGTCACAACCTCTCGAGATCCTGACGGTCTACCGCCCACCGAGGAATGACCCGCAATCAGACAGTAGTCTACTAGAGGAATTAGAAGCGATTTCCCTCCGACCCAATGTCATGATTATGGGCGACTTTAACGCTCCGAATATCGACTGGAATCTGACTTCTGCCCCGGGCTCAGAATTTAACTTTGATCGCCGCCTCCTAAATTCTGTGCAAAGATCGCATCTCACACAACACGTCTTATCCCCAACCAGACTACGTGAAGGACAACTAGCTAACTGCCTAGACCTTGTATTGACAAAGGCACCGGAAAGCGTTGATGTTGTAAACTGTCTACCCCCTCTCGGAAAAAGCGACCATGTAGTCCTACAGTGGGAGTATTCTCTCTTCTCTGTACCCGATCAAAGCATCGTGATTAGACGCAACATATGGCGTGGTGACTTCAACCAAATGCGTGTCGACATGCGTCGTAGAGACTGGAAAGCAGCATTTACGGGGTGTGTCCTCAAGGACTGGTTAGAACTTAAGGCCATACTGAATGAACTTATCACCAGATAATGCCCTATGTCGAAAAAGAAAATCACCAGCAGGCCGCGATGGCTTAAGGGTTCACTAAAAGTTGAAGTAAACCGTAAGCAAAAGCTGTGGAAAGCATATCTTAGGGACAAGACAACTGAATCAAGAAATAGGTATAAGGCTCAGCGGAATAGGGTAAAGTGCCTTGTTTACAAAAATTGCCAAGACTTCGAGGGTAACCTTTTAAACTGTGCAGGAGAAAACCCAAAGCTTTTCTTCAACTACATAAGACAAAGTACTCGCAACAGGGATCCCATCCCTATGCTAAAAACTGATGATGGCGTTGAACTTTACAAGGACGACGAAAAGGCCGAACATCTGTCCAGGTTCTTTCAGTCGGTCTTTACGAGAGAAGTCGCTGTACCCACTGATCACTGTAATGTGGACAATGTCCCGACAATTGACTCAGTGGTTCTCACAAAACCTATTGTTCAACAGGAATTAATGAAGCTAAAAGAAAGGACTTCGCCCGGTCCTGACGAAATACCGGCAAAGTTGTTGAAGGAATTGGCCACAGAATTGGCAGAACCTCTGAGCGTCCTCTTCCAAGCCTCTCTTGATGCAGGCAGACTGCCTCCTGAGTGGAAGACTGCGTGGATTTCACCGATTCATAAAAATGGCAGTCGCGCTTCCGCAAACAACTACTGATCGGTAAGCCTCACCTCCATATGCTGCAAAGTTATGGAGCGAATAATCAAACGCGAACTGATGCGGTTTTTAGAGCAAAATCATCTTCTGTGCGATGCACAGCACGGTTTCCGCAGAGGGAGGTCCTGCTTAACCAATCTACTCTACTGTCTTGAACAGTGGACCCGAGCGATTGATGAAGGAAACGTTGTGCATGTGGCCTACATAGACTTCAAGAAGGCATTTGACAGCGTGCCACACCAACGTCTCCTACACAAGCTCAGCCGCATACGGGTAAGAGGCAAGCTTTTGAAGTGAATTGAAAACTTTTTGGTCGGTCGGTCCCAGACTGTTCGTCTTGGTGGCCAGCACTCGGCAGAGGTGACGGTTACGAGCGGAGTACCTCAGGGCTCCGTTCTTGGCCCTATCCTCTTCCTCATCTATATTGATGACTGTATCCATGGATTGGACTGCAAGACTGCAATGTTTGCTGACGATATAAAGCTTTGGACCGTCATCCGCAACGAGGACGATGAAGCAAATTTACAGGCAAACTTAGGCCGACTCGAAAAATGGTCAGGCCACTGGCTCCTCCCATTTAATGTTACCAAATGCAACATTCTGAGGATTGGCAGAACCAGCTCTGCGCACCGGCAGACGTACTATCTAAATCACACACCGCTGCCACTGGTAGAGGTTCAGAAGGACCTAGGGGTGTGGATAACATCTTCATTAAGCCATCATTCCACTGCTTGAAAGCAGCGAAATCTGCAATGTCCAGCTTATATCTCATCAAGCGGGCATTTGCCAAGTTCGATGAAGAGTGCTTCCGCAAGGTCCTCGGGATATTTGTGCGCCCACAGTTAGAATTTGCCATTCAGGCCTGGAGACCCTGGACTGTTAAGGATCGTACCACCCTCGAAAAAGTCCAACGACGGGCAACCAAGATTGTCAAAGGTCATAAAAACCTACCTTACGAAACCAGACTTTCAAATCTTAACCTCTTTCCCCTGGACTACAGACAAATCCGTGGCGACTTAATTCAAACGTTTAGAATGTTACGGGGTCAGGACTGCTGCCTCGCATCCGGCGACTTCTTTGAGCTGGCCACCACTACTAGTTTGAGAGGACACCCTCTAAAACTACGTGTGACAGGAGCGAGACTGGACGCAAGAAGGTCCTTCTTCAGCCACAGAGTGGTAAAGGCATGGAACGCCCTACCTGTGGATGTCGTCATGTCCTCATCCGTGGACTCATTTAAGAGAAAGCTTGACCAGTACAGTGATATGTACCTCCACAGCATCAGAAACTAACGAACCCCCCCCTGTGCCACCCGTCCTATCCAACTATTTATGTTAAAAAGCATGCTACTCCCTATATTTTAGTAACATTATGTTTTACAATTTTCGCTATCTCCTGACCGCCACAGATGCGCTTGCTTTGATATTACTTGGTCCATTCATTGCCGTACTGGATATTGTACAATCTTGACACAGAAGGCATTCACAGACAAATTCATACCAGTGACCAATGCTTGTTGTATGTAATTACTTACCTAATTTTTTTCACACTTGCCTTACACATTGTTTTTTATGACGTTATTGTAACCAAAAGAGAGTTCAAAGGCGTTCGCCTACTTTTCACTTAATAAATCTGATCTGATCTGATCTGATCTGAATTGCCTTGATCTAGTGTTCATCAAGTCCTCTGACAATATCGACGTTGTGAATTGCCTCCCCCCGTTGGGTCAGTGTGACCATGTAGTTCTCATGTGCGAATACACCTTATTCTCCCTGCCTGCACAACCGCTTGATTCCCGACCCAATATTTGGCGCGGAGATTTCGAACAGATGAGAAGGGATTTTAGTTCTATCGACTGGGCATTCACTCTATCTGGCGATGTCGAAGAGGTTTGGTGTCAGTTCAAAGAGTTAGTCCACAACCTCATCTCCAACCATTGCCCAATCATGCGCAGAAGACTAACAAATAGACCCCGCTGGCTGACTCCGTCCTCAAAGAATGAAGTTAACCAAGAAGAGGAAGCTGTGCAAAAGATCCCTGACTGACCGAACGCCAGAATCCCTAAGCAGTTATAAGTTACAGAAAAATCGGTTCAAAATTCTCATCGCCAAAGATCGGTAATCCTCTGAAACGGATCTTCTGAACCGTGTCTGGGTTAATCCCAAAGTCCCCTACAGCTACATAAGACAGAGCACGCGTAACAAAGACCCCATCCCACTGCTGCGAACAGCCGATGCAATGGAATTCTCCGATGACAAGGATAAGGCTGAATACCTCTCTCAGTTCTTCCGGTCCGTCGTGACAAGTGAACCAGATTTTTTCTCCCCCATTTGTGAAGACGAAGAAACGCCTACCCTTGAAGCCGTATTCTTCACCGAAGTAATTGTTCGGAATGAGTTACTTATTCTGAAAGAATCGACCTCCCCAGGCCCTGATGCAATCCCCGCCAAGCTGCTGAAGGAGCTTGCTCCCGAAATGTCCAATCCATGAGCCTTGATCTTCCAAACGTCATTTCTTACTGGATGCCTGCCCTCTGATTGGAAGTCCGCTAACATCACTCCGCTTTTTAAGAGCGGAAGTCGTGCGTCTGCGAATAACTACAGGCCAGTGAGTCTTACGTCCATCTGTTGCAAAATCATGGAGAAGATCATTAAGAAGGCCTTGATGCCGTTTCTCGAGCAGCACCACCTCCTCTCGGATGCACAACACGGCTTTCGAAGTGGTAGGTCCTGCCTCACGAATCTGCTCTTTACGCTCGAACGCTGGACCAAAGCACGCGATGAAGGTAGTGTGGTGCACGCCATCTACATCGACTTCAAAAAGGCCTTCGACAGCGTTCCCCACCAACGTCTCTTGCACAAACTGCGCAAGGCTGGAATTCGTGGATGACTTCTTGTATGGATCCAGAGCTTTTTGGCTGGACGGTCCCAAAGAGTGCAGGTCGGGCGTCAACAGTCCTCAGAGGTAAGCGTGGTGAGTGGCGTCCCACAGGGCTCAGTCTTAGGTCCCACGTTATTCCTCGTGTTCATAAATGACTGCGTCAAGGACTTAGACTGTGATGCCATCCCGTTTGCCGACGACATTAAATTGTGGAAAGTTATTCACAATGCGGCAGACGCACACCACCTGCAAGCAAACCTGAACAGGCTCGAAGACTGGTCAAAGCGCTGGCTTATGCCCTTTAATATAAGCAAGTGAAACTTTCTTCAACTAGGCAGTTTCAGAGCCTCCAGCCCCAGGACTTACTTTCTAGACGGCACACCACTGCAACAGGTTGACAGTCAGAAGGACTTGGGTGTATGGATTACATCTTCACTCAAGCCAACACTGCATTGCGCGAAGGCAGCTAAATCGGCTATGGCTACACTGCAACTCATTAAGCGAGCATTTATGGGATTTGACTCAGACAACTTTTCAAAAATATTTGGCACCTACGTGAGGCCCCATCTAGAATACGCCATACAGGCGTGGAGATTTTGGACTGTCAAGGACTATACCGTTTTGGAGAAGGTCCAGAGACGGGCGACCAAAATGACACAAGGTCTGGCAGCGCTGTCTTACGAATCCCGACTGTCAACTCTCAACCTGTTTCCACTTTCCTACAGGCAATTACGTGGCGACTTTATACTTGCATTTCGCATTATCAACTGCCTAGACTGTTGTTTAGAACCCACTGATTATTTCACACAGGCTAGCACGCCCACTTTGCGCGGTCATCGACTAAAACTACGCGCCGGGAAAGCAAGGATCAATGGAAGAAAGTACTTTTTCAGTCACAGAGTGGTTGCAGCGTGGAATGCCCGGCCCAACGATGTTGCAATATCCTCCTGTGTGAATTCCTTTAAGTTAAGACTTGACGCGCATCAAGCCTCCCAGTAACCAGCCTTTCATCTACGCACATAACCCGATACCAACTTAAACATCTTTATACTACATGTAACTAGTTAGTAACCGTTATTGAGTACTCTTTTTTGACAAGCTGTCAGCGATTATGAACAAAACCCCTTTTTCACATTCCGAATATCAATGTTTATCTCCCACGACTTGTAAAAAATAGGGAGTTCAAAGGCGCTAGCCTATATTTCCCCTAATAATCTGAAACTGAAACCCCAAGATGCCGGCTTTCGAATGATCTTCCTTCCGGCGGCATGTAAAAACTGCACTCTGTTAAAATGACCACTTAAGAAGCACGCATTTTCCTCGTCTATTTTCGATACTCCTAAAACTACAATTATATTTCATGGAAAACGTGCATTAGAAATATTGAATCTTTCGCTGATTCAGTAAAATGTACGTCTTCTTCCACTCTTCGACTTCCAAATCTTTTCCAATTCCCGAATAATTTCGAACCCGCTCTGCCGTTATACTTGCATTCAAGGTTTCCAAACTACAAGCCGTATATTTTTCGCGAACGGAAAGCCATGTATTTCTCTACAGTATTAAGTGGAAACAATTTGGAGTTCATAAAATTTAGTAGTGGATTTGATCCATAATGTTTACTATACGAGCCGCATTGGTAAATGCAGAGATATGAGGTTTTGCGAAAGGTCCTTTCCAAGTATTGAAAAATCTCATAATTAGAAACTTATTTAAACCCCAATTATACTTTTCCTTCAAGTATAAAATTGCAAGAAGACTTAATTTTCTAACGGATTAGTGGAAGAATGCATATTTTTATTCATGATTTCCATGAAATATAATTGGCATTTTTACATGAAATATAATTGAATTATTTAAGCGCATAGAAAATCCGTGTAAAAAATGCATGCTAATCAAATAGTCCTTTTTGCAGAGTGCAGGTTTTGTTTACGCCCGGACGGAAGTTCGTTCGATGGCTTTCACGCTGCGGTGACTGAACAATTATAGAATTATTTCGCAGGCTGACTAGTTTTAAAACCCTTCTTTATTAAGCTTTTCGAAAGGAAAATCTATTTCGGAATTTTGGTTCACATTTCATGAGTTAGCCCACTAACTGTACGTCAGGGGACAATCAGTAATGCAACTCCGTCTACATAACACTTCGAAGTCGAAAACGCATTCCAGAATTCCTGCCAACGTTTCATTAGAGCACACGGTGTACATCGTCGAAATGGACGCTCTGTCTGTCCAACTGTGGTGGCTCGGAATAGTACACTCACCACACACACAACCACCCACTCCGCCTCCCCAGCGAAACAGGTGATGACTTCAAATGTCTTCCATCACAAGCCAACGCCCAGGGCATGCCTCAAAATGGACTTATTGCAGGCTGGGACAAAAGCCGGGTTGCCGGGTCGGGCCAAGTAATTGGGCATGATGATCTCAACGAAGTAGCCCAAACCGTTTGCCGGCGTAAGGCGCTGACTTGCTAGCAAACATGAATATTTGCTCGCGATTGGGGTGAGTCGATGGCGCGTCGGAGGTGAGCTGCGCGTCTGTCATGCATGCCTATAACTGCTTTTCTGGTGGCGACTTGCTTACAGTCGACTAAAAGCTACAGTGGATGCAGCTCGTGCATGCTTTTTGGCCAACAGTTGGGACTGCATTCACCAGAGAATTCTTGTGGATATGCAGGTGATTGCTGCTTCCAAGGCTGACATGTCTATATCTCACGATTTTCATCGCAGTGTCCAAGTTCTTGTGATTTAAAATGGGACTCCTTCAGACCTCAAGATATCTATTCATACAGCATCTTACTTGTCTGTTTATTAATGAATTATACAATATTGTGCGCATCAAACGCAAGATCGCATGAGCTTTTCATGGCTTTCTTAAGGCACCGAGGGGTGCCTGATTTTTTGCAGGTCAAATTGCTCTTACAGTCTGAATCGGCTAAAGGCAGATGCAAAGGGTGCCTTTCCTCAAATTTATCGGAGAATTAAACAAACTTTTCGAAACCAAAGGATATTATTTCTTTGTGTTTAAAATGTGAAGCGAGAGAGAGAGAGAGCAATTTGCCACCAAATCAGTACACAAAAGCATATTTTTGTTGCTGTTATCCATAAAATATGTTTGAATTTATAAACATATCGTGAATCAATGTCGAAAGTTCATATCACATCAATAATCATTGTTTACTCACTGCCGCTTTTACAGAAGATCGAATATACTCTATTAAAAATTCACAATATTGGCAAGTCCATATTATTATGATACTATGTCACGAGACAATCAGTAATGCAACTCCGCCTAAATACTACTTCCAGGCTTAAAACAAAGTCCAGAATTCCTGCCAAAGTTTCATCAGAGCACACGGAAGACATCGTCGAAATGGACGTTCAAACTCTGGTACTGTGGTGGCCCTCGGCACACTCACCATTTACCCACCCACTCTGCCTGTCCAACGTAGCAGATTTTGCGTTCAAATATCTTCAACCACATGCCAACGCACAGAGCATGCCTTAAAGTGGACTTATTGCAGGCAGTGCCAAAAGCAGGATCGTCGGTCGGGCCAAGTATTTAGGAATGACTGTCTCAACGAAGTAGTCCAAACCGTTTTCTGGCTTAAGGCGCCGACTTGCCAACGCATATGAATATTTACTGGTGATGGGTGAATTGATGTCGCGTCGGAGTTGAGCTGCGCGTCTATCATGCATGCCTACGCGTGCTCTTGCAGTGGCGACTTGCTTACAGAAGACTAGAGCTGACTGCGCCCATTACCCACATCCAGGACTACGGCAATGAATGGCTCCTACAAAATTCAGTCTGGTGCAGGTTAACAGTCGGGCTTCCAGAAGAACGGATGACGGTGCTCACCAAATTACTTAATTCCTTGTCATTCTCCAAAACACCATATACAACGACAAACGAACCTAGAAATAGGAAAACAAGAAAAGAAATCATGGCATTCCGTCATCGTCAAAACTACCGCCTAAGATATTGCCAACTAAGGACAGTCCAGATTAACCGCAACTAAGGGAAGGCATCGGCATCACGAACATTATCATGAATCCGGTCATTTTTTCACTGATTAATGTCTCTGTCGTAAACATCCCCGTCATAATCTTTACGATCATCCGTATAATCAGCAGGATCATTATCGTCATAATCATCTTCATGTTATTAATCATCAACAACATAGTCAGCAACCAAAACAGCGCAAACAATACTAACGCTAAAATCATCGATCTTCTCTACACAAAGATACCACTGGGGATATGCTCCCGTCCAGATTGGAATTAGTAGACATTAACGTCTTTCAGTCCCAAAGCAAGCAAGTTGCTATTAGTAGTCTAGAGTGGGTGTAATGTCACATTCACATTCCAGATCAGACTGCTTGGAAGAATGCAAGCTAACTAGATATTCGGCGTTGGAAATCAGACCGCAATGATTACTTCGCAATGTGGCCCTTACAGCTTTCTCATTTGAAACAGGCATGCACAGCAGAATTGGTCGGAATCAACAAATTTCGCGACGGCATATCAACCGCAACCCGTAGCTGCATAACAGTGATAATGAGTGAGCAATCTTCAGAAATTTGAATTTTTACGGAAAACTTCAATGCAAAACAT